CAGGGATGGGTGCTGGTGGCCCCATGCCACAGGGCAGCTGCCATCACCCCGGGGATATCCCTTCCCCGGGGAAACGGGCCGGCCCCCATGGATGGCAGCACACAGGCCTCCGACCAGGCAGCAGCGACTCCCGGAAGGCTGGTGCCATCCCTGTCCTCAGCGAGAGGCTACCCTTGGGCAGGGGACAGTGCCAAGGGCTCCTCTCCTTCCCTCTCCCCTCACCTGGGCTCCACTTCTCCAGTGACTGAGAGCAGGGTCCCTCCGCGAGGGTCATTCGGGGCATCTCCCAAAAGGCCTCGGGGCGGCGGGCCACTAGCAGGTAGAGGTCCACGCTGCATAGGGGCCCTCGGGTCTGGCATGGGCACTGCCAGGGAGACACACAAGAACTCGTGAGGATCTGCATGACCAGTGCCGTGCCAAGACTGTCCCCGGCGCTCTCAGGCCGGGTGTGGGGCAGCCACGCTGCTCCCCTGAGCTGTGCTGTCTGCTGGGGACGCAGCCCCACACACGAGGCTGGAGCACACCAGAGCCCCTTCCCTGGCTGCCAATTTTATTCCTCTCTTTTTCTTCTCGGGTTTATTTAAGGTTCCTTATGGCATGAGGGGTCAAACCAAGCATGGGTGCCCCCATGGCGATCCCTACAAGTGTGGGCATCAGCACCCTGCTGACGTGGGGCCAAGATCAAAGCAAGACCTGGAAGGCTCCTGGAAGCACAGTGTCAAAGAGGGCTGGATCTTAGGCAAAAGCCCTTTCCAAACAGGCTCTCCTTTTCCACTGGAGGCTCCATGCATGGTTCTAGCCTGTTCTCTCCTGCAGCCCTCAAAGAAATCCTGCCTCCTTCATCTCCTCTTACTGCTGTCAGGCTACAAGGAGTGACATGCCAGTCCCTGGCCCTGAGAACAGCAGGTGAGAGCTGCTGTCTGCACACTCCACAACGAGCTCCAGGGGAAGAGGGAGCTGGTGCCGGGGTACCTTGAACGCGTTCGATAGACGCAGGCCTGGCAGGTCCCACGGGCGAGAGCTGCAGGTTCCCTGGGCAAGCAGCAGGAAAAGAGGGAAAGAGCAGACACGTAAATAGTGTATGCACACATGCACAGGCTCTGGGGACAGTGCTGCCTGCAGGATCACGCACCCTGTAGTCCCCAGGAACACCTACAGAGAAAATGTTCCAAGTCTGGCTTTATCAACCTCTTCTGTTCACACCCCCTTTGTCAGCACAGGCAGGACAGCCAGCGTGGCACAGTCCTTCCCTCACTCAGGGACAGAGGCAGGCAGAGAAGACATCCTGCCAAGAGACGTGGCATTCCGTGGGGCCACACTGGCCCCACAATGCACAGCCAGCTCCTGCTCTCCAAAACCTTCTGGGTGCCAAGAACTTTCAGACAGCTTTCAGGAAGACAGTGCCCACCCCAAAGAAAATGAGAGTCAGCTGACCCTAAGGCCAAAGGATCTCAGACTAGGTTTGCATGTTGCTGGAACAAGGCCTAGGATAGAAGTCAAGGCAACAGAGGTGACAGGTGTCAGCATGTGCTGCTCCTGCGAGAACAGGAACACCGGGGCCGTACTAACCTACACATGGCAACGTGTGAACCGTAAGGAATCGGGGCCCAGGGCTGGGCCGGACAGACCGTGCCTGCGGAGGGAAAGCCGAGCCGTCACCCTCCGGGAAGTCCCTGCCAAGCCTCAAGCCAAAACGGAGAGCCAGCTCCCTCTGCTGGGCACGGCGCGGGAGGACGCGGCGGCCGCACCAGCTGCTTCCCAGCACCCAGGCAGCCAAGGAGCACGACAAGGACCAGAGAAGAGCAAGCTCTGCCTGCCCGCACAAGCACAGGGACAGACATGGGCTCGCAGAGGTGGAAAACACAGACACATCCCGCTCGGTGGGGACAGGCAGCTCTCCTGGCTGCCAGGGCACGACAGCACAACAGGGTGCAGAACGAGCTGGGAGCCAACTGGGGCATGGGCTGAGCCCTGGGAGCCAGGGAGCTGCTACCACAGCCTTGTGCCTCAGTGAACAAAGCCAGGCACTGGGCACAGCCAGGCTGCAGACAGCTGGGGCACAGCACTGCTCCCTGGAGCGAGGCTCACACCACACACAGCACTACACACGTCTGTTTTACCTTGTCCACGCTCCAAGGGGACTGGCCCTGCACCTGGCATCCCAACCTGTGGCTGCATCCCACCTGAGAGGGGACAGGCAGAGATCAGACCCCTCCTCAGCCATCCCTGATGACTAACCTGTTCCTTTGGTCCCAAATACCTTCTCGCTCCCAACTCCTGGGGGAGCACCTGGAGGTTTATTCCCTTGGTGTTGGTTCCCCCCAGGGATAATCCAACTCTGCAGCCCACCTCTGGCAGCAGCACAACCACAATGTACAGCACAGGATTACGTGTGCTCTCACAGGGCTGGGCCCTCTGGTTAGGGGGAAGGCAGAGAGGGGTCTGCAGGACCAGTGTGCTCACGGGTGGGGCAGCTCGGCCCAAACTCACCTCCTGGAGCCAAGGGGCCAGGGCCTGGGCCCTGCACAGGGGCTGCCATCTGTCCTGGGGCTGGCACTCCCCCCTGCATGGGTGGCTGCATCAGAGGAGGAGCGCCGTTGACGTGCATCCCGCCCTGTTCGGAGAGACGCGGGATCTCAGGGACACCCCCACACCCGGGCACGTGCCCAGCTGGAGAGCTGGCACTGCCCATTTCTCCTGCACAGCTCATGTGTCGTGCAGGCTCTTACTATGGGCTGTGGCTGGGACGATGGGGTGTTCTGTGGGTTCAGCTGCGCATTGGGGCCCGGCCCAGGCCCCGGTCCTGGCCCAGGCCCTGGCCCTGGCACTGCCTGCTGGTTGCCTGGGATCAGAGGAGGAACACTGGTCTGGCGATGCAGGATTTTCTAGGGGAGGAAGAAGAAGAAGAGTTCTTTTCCACTGCCACTCCACAAAGGCTACCACCAACATCCCCCCAAGCCCGGACGAGCAGCAAGGACAAACCAGCGCGATCTCCGGGTCGACGATCCTCATGACCACCTGGGCCTGCAGCAGCGCATAAGCCAGCTGGGGGTTCTGGAGCAGCATGTTCCTGGCTTCCTGGGGGCTGTTCTGGACACACAGCTGAGAAGACAGGCACTGATCAGAGCTCTGACAAGGTGTGACACGGGTGGGAGGGCGCAGGCAGTGGCTCGCACAGGCAGCACGGCCCTCCTGCACTCACCTTCATCTGCTTCATCAGCTCAAACATCTGCTCGGGTGGCAGGCTGGCCACTGCCCGGCTGATGGACTCGGGGGCATCCTCTGGGTTGACAGGGTCCCCGTAGGGTGACTCTATGATGGGTGCACCTGTGCCCAAGCCTGCAATACAGTTGGTGACTTTGTACTGCAACACGAACAGCGCATGCAATGGGCTCATCAGGAGGGGAGCACCAGCCCACCAGGGGAAAAGGAGACACAAAACCAGGGAGACCTTAGGAGGAATTTCTTCCCAGAAGGGGTGATTAGGTGTTGGAACAGGCTGCTCAGGGAGGCTGTGGAGTCACTGTTCCAGTCTTAAACACTGGAAGTGGCATTTAGTGCCCCAATCTAGCTGATGCAGTGTGCTTGAACCATGATCTTTACACACCTTTTCCAACCTAAGTAATTCTGTGTTTCTGTGTTCATCACCTGGGAGTGCAAACCCAGAGCTGAGCCCATGCATCCCTCTGGGGCACTACTCACAACACCCCCAGAGCAGGTCAGCTCTGCCAGCCTGGCAGAAGACACAGAAGCATGAGGGAGCCCCCAGAACCCGACTCACTCTTGAGCTCCTCCTTGTTCTTCTCGCTGGCGGCGTTGTCCACGCGCAGGGCCCTGCCGCTGAACTCGCGCCCGTTGAGGTTGCGCATGGCGCTCAGCGCCGTCTCCTGGTCCTGGTACTCGCAGAAGCCATAGCCCTTGGGCTTGCCCGTCTCCCTGTCGTACACCAGCCTGGCAGGAGGAGACACAGGCTGCTGAGGGCAGGGTGGGCATCCCGCTGTGCCCACGGCTCCTGCAGATACAGGGACAGAGCCCCAGCAGGGCTGGGAGCACACTGAGAGCTGTGGGGATACAGGGACAGAGCCCCAGCAGGGCTGGGAGCACGGTGAGAGCTCAGGGATACAGGGACAGAGCCCCAGCAGGGCTGGGAGCACAGTGAGAGCTGTGGGGACACAGGGACAGAGCCCCAGCAGTGCAGAGCCCCCGGAGCTGCGTGCCCACATCCACCTGCTGTGCTGGGGACATCGTGCTCCACCTCCAGGTGACCCTGGCACAGCCTCACAACCCCTGCAGGTGCTGCTCTCCGTGAGGAACGAGCCTCGGGGGGCACAGGGAGGTTCAGATGGGGTATCAGGCACAGTTCCTTGGCCCAGAGCAGGCAGCCCGAGCAGCGGCCGTCACCGCCCCTGCGAGTGGCCAAAAGGTGCATGTGGCACTTGGGGACACGGTGGGCTTGACAGCGAGGTGTGTCCATGTGGCACTTGGGGACACGGTGGGCTCGGCAGTGCTGGGGGAACGGCTGGGCTGGACGGTTGTAGAGGCCTTTCCCGGCGTTAGGGATTCGCGACTCCGCGGTTCCCGGGCCGGCTCCGCGGGGCTCGCTCTGCGCCGAGCGGGGGCACCCGGGGGAGGCCGGCGGCCGCGCTCACCTAAAGCTCACCACGGGCCCAACCTCCGAGAAAATGTCCTTCAGCTGCTCCTCCGTGGCCTCATACGGGATGTTCCCCACTGCGGAGACAGACGGTGCCGCCGGTCAGCCTCGACGGCGTGGGGGGGAAACCCGCCGGCCCCCCGCCTGCCCCTGCCCGTCCGAGCCCCCTTCCCTTGCAGGTCGCGGTCCCGCCCCGCGGGCTCACCGAACACGGAGCGCAGGGACCGATCCACGGCGGGGTCCCGCACCGACAGCCCCGCCATCGCGCCGCCCGCGCCGCTTCCGGTCCGCGCGCCGCCCGTCCCCCGCTTCCGCTTCCGCCCGCAACAAGCTCGGCAGCGGCGCTTTCAAAAAGCGCTCCGGCGGGAAACGCGGCAGCGGCGGCTGCGGCGTGGGGGTGCTGGGGACCCCCGCACCTCGGGGATCCCCCGGCCCGACCTCGGGGATGCCGCTTCGGGCACCGGCCCCGAGGCACAGCCCCTGGCGAGCGTGACAGCGCCTGGGATCGGCAGGATGGAAGGCACGGACGCCCCCATCGCTGTCCCCACGGGTGTCCCCGCGCTGGCCGCAGAGCCGCGGTTCGCCCAGCGCCTCAGGTGAGGGGCAGCGGGATGGCAGCGCCGTGCTGCCCCGCGGGACGGGGCCAGGCGGGCGGCAGGGAGGGCAGGGCCTGACCGCTCTGGCCGTGCAGGCAGCGCCTGGAAGAGCAGCGGCTCCTGGACGGGCGCTACGGGCTGCAGCGGCTGCCGGGCGGCCGCGTGGCCCTGCCCGTGCTGCCGGAGAAGCTCTCCCAGCTGTGCCTGCCGCCGGAGCTGCCCTGCGAGCTGCTGCGGATCCAGGTGAGCCCGGCCGCGAGCCCCGAGCCCTGCGGGCGGCGCCGGGCGCTCAGCCCAGCCCGGCACGGCCCCGCCGCAGGACCCTGTGCCCTGCAGGGCCGCCCGCCGGCGCACGCCGGCCCGGAGGCTGCGGGACGAGCTGCGGCGGCTGCTGGGGCCCGCCTGGTCCGCGGAGCTGGAGCGGGACGTGCCGCACGCCTGGCACAGGCACGGCGACCTGGTGCTGCTGAGCGAGGACAGCTTCAGGGCTGAGCCCTGGGAGAGGCTGGGTAAGGATGAGCAAAGCCTGCCTGCCCCGGCCCAGGCTGCCCGCAGCTCCCGGGTGCCTGTTGCAGGCTCGGCACCCTGGGACAGGCTGGGAAAGGGCAAGCAAAGCCTGCCTGCCCTGCCCGGCCCAAGCTGCCCGCAGCTCCGGGGTGCTTGTTGCAGGCTCGGCACCCTGGGAGAGGCTGGGTAAGAGTGAGCAAAGCCTCCCTGCCCTGCCTGGCCCAGGCTGCCCGCAGCTCCGGGGTGCCTGTTGCAGGGTCGGTGCCCTGGGACAGGCTGGGAAAGGGCAAGCAAAGCCTCCCTGCCCTGCCCTGCCCAGGCTGCCTGCAGCTCCCGGGTGCTGTATTGCAGGCTCAGCACCCTGGGAGAGGCTGGGTGAGGGCGAGCAAAGCCCTCCTGCCCCGGTCCAGGCTGCCCGCAGCTCCCGGGTGCTTGTTGCAGGCTCGGCGCTCTGGGAGACGGTAGCCTCGGCTTTGGGGGCCCAGCGGGTGGCCAGGCGAGGCCGGGTGATGCCGGATGGGATGCGCAGCCCCAGGGTCACCCTGCTGCTGGGCCAGCACGGCTGGGTGGAGCACGTGGACAACGGCATCAGGTGGGCAGCAGCTGCAGGATGGGGCTGGCAGGGAAGGGACTGGCCTCACCGTCTGAGCGGGGTCTTCCAGGTACACCTTCGACGTGACCAAGTGCATGTTCTCCCCGGGAAACATCACCGAGAAGCTGCGTGTGGCCTCGCTGCCCTGCTCCGGGGAGGTCCTGGTGGATCTCTATGCAGGTAATGGGGACGGAGGAAGGACAGGTGCTGATGGCATCCAGGTAGTCATGAAATGTCATTTCCAGCTTATGAAAAATACTCAGGCTTAGAGCTCCTGTCTTTTCTGTGAGCCCTTCAGCTCTGCTGGCACTGCTGTCCTGCCTGTGTCCCTACAGCCTCTGGACACTTAGGATGTCCTGTTCTCAGGCTCTGTGCCTAGTGCTGCTTTGGGGAATCACTTGGATCCAGGGGAAAGATTTGCCACTGTTTGTGCTTAAGGAAGTTAGTGCTTCCAATTTGTGCCACACTGAAGGACATGGCACTCACAAAACTGCTGTGGATTAATCAAACTAAACAGTAATCCTGACACTTCTGCAGAGCCAGGCAGGTCTCAACCTGATGGCAAAGACTGAATGCAAAATAAACTCCTCTAAACATTTTTCAAGGCAGATTTTGCTTTTGCAGAAGAGGAAGGGATAAATTTCCATTTTCCCAGTGTTTGGGCTTTCTCCAACCCAGAGCAAAGCAGACTTGGAGAGGCAGGGTGGCAGTGTTCATCCTGCCCTGCCCTCGGGGAGCAGTGTGGATCTCTGGGGGTCCCTGCCCTCAGCCACTGCCTCCTCCTGCCCGCAGGCATCGGCTACTTCACGCTGCCGTTCCTGGTGCACGCCGGAGCCGCCTTTGTCCATGCCTGTGAGTGGAACAGCCACGCCGTGGAGGCGCTGCACAGGAGCCTGGTGCTGAACGGGGTGCGGGATCGCTGCCACATCCACAGCGGGGACAGCCGGCAGGTGAGCGCTGCCGCCGGGCCGCGGTTCCCCCGCCGCGGGCATCCCCTCACCTCCGCTCTGCTCCCAGCTGCAGCTGCGGGATGTGGCAGACAGAGTCAACCTGGGGCTGATTCCCAGCTCGGAGGAAGGCTGGCCCGTGGCCTGCCGCGTCCTGAAGAAGGACACGGGTGGGGTTCTGCACATCCACCAGAACGTGGAGACCCGGTGGGCGCCGGCCGCGCCGCGGAGCGCGGAGCCGCTGGCCGAGCGGGGCTCTGCGGAGGCAGCCAGCCCCGGCGGAGAGGCACAGCGCCCGGCAGAGCACGGCGGGGAGCAGGCGGCCAGGCTCAGAGCCGAGTGGCAGAGCTGGGCTGAAGGCACGGCCGCACGCATCCAGGGGCTGCTGGCAGAGCTGCACGGGCGGCCGTGGCGCAGCAGCGTCCTGCACATCGAGCCGGTGAAGTCCTACGCGCCACACGTGCACCACCTCGTGCTGGACCTCGAGTGCCGGCCTGTGCTGCCCGGGTAGCGGGGCACGGGCACCGCTGGGGCTCCAGCTGCTTGGGAGGGTGGCTGGCAGTGTCCTGCTGCCAGCCTGGATGTGCCTTGTGTCCCCCAGTTGCCAGGTGGCAGCACTGCCCGGCAGTGCCTCCCCGTGCCCGGGGCACCCAGGGTTGTGCTCCCCTTGGCAGATCCCCTCAGGATCCAGACAAGGATAGAGCAAGCTGGGCTCAGAGTGCCAGTGTTCTGCCCTGGCTCTGCCAGTCACTGCCCAGGTCTTGGACACGTGGTAGCACCTTGAGCCCGATTTTCACACTGGAGAGAGCCACAGTGCTGAGAAGCCTTGGGTTCCTGCTGGGTTCATTTCAGCAGGTCAGGGACAAGCTTTGTGCTTGTATTTACCAGCATGCTTTTTTAATGCACTGAGAGCAAGTCTGTTCATCCCATTTCCTTTCTATCTTTTCAGAAATAAAGATGTTTCACTACCTCTTGTTGGTGTCCAGTTAAAACATGAACACTGGTGCAAGTGTGGGGGTCTGGCCTGGGGATTTGGGTGCTAGGGTGGTGTGTGGAGGGGCTCAGGGAGCAAAGCCTCTGTGGCATTGTCTGCCTGCAAGCCCAAAGCCCTCTCCGTAAGTGTTGTGTACTCCGGATGGAGCGAACCCCTGCCCCATGAGGAAGCTCCCGCTGGCCCTTTGATGTCGCCGCGGTTTTTTCCACTGTGTCAGTGTCGCATCGCTTCCCACAGCGCTGGGAGCCTCTGGCTCTCCCATCCCTGGGGTGCGGCCGAAAGTGTGGGCAGAGCCGCGTCCTCTCGTTTGCCTCGGGGCTGCACCCAGGTGGCCTCCCCCGCTGTCCTGCGTGGTGACAAACCGCCTCCCCTTGAGCCCCCGCCTCGGCCAGCCGCGTGTGCTCGGTTCCCCGGTGCCTGTGCTGCGGGGGGCAGGGACGAGGCGCCCTGCGGGGACCGTATCTCTGCCACAAGGACAAGGGCAGCGGCTGGAGCCTTGCGGCGGGAGGACACCGCGCTCCGGGCTCCTCCTTGGGGGTGCCCCGCAGTTCGGGTGTCGGTGCGCTCGGTGCTCCTCGGGAGAGGCCGCGCACCCAGCCAGGGCCACGGGGCACCGGGGAAAGCGGCCCCGGGGCTGGAGCAGCAGCTCTACCGGGGCTGATCGGGCGGGGGAAGGGGCTGGGGGGAGCGGGCACCGCCTCCCGCTCGGGCCGCCCCGTCGGTGCCGCAGGTGCGGCCGGCGCGGCTCCTTTAAGGCACCGGCACCGCCCTCCCCCCGGCTGCCCCCTCCCGCTGCCGGGAGCCGCCGGCCGGAGCGCTGCAGGTACCGGGAGGATCGGGGGGTCGGGCGGCGCTCCGCTGCCGGGGTACCGGGGGTTCCTCCGCGGACGGAATCCCTCGGCTGGTGGGGAGTCGGGGGTCCCTCTGTGGTCTGGGGGTCGAGCCGCGGTGTCCCGGGGCGGGGGCAGTTCCCAGCCCCGGTGGCCGCGCTGGGAACGCGGTGGTTCCAGTCCCGGACCCACTTTCTCCGACAGAGGAGCCTGGGGTCCGTCCCGCCGCCCCCTCCTCCCCGAGGGACGCCGGAGCGCGGCTGCGGGGACGGGAAGGTCCCTCCCGCCGGTTCCGCCGAGCGGGCGGCGGCCGCAGCCCCCGAGCAAGCGCTCGGCTCCGTCGGGGCTGCAGCGGCCGCCCGGCTCCTGGTGCCGCCGCCTGCCAGCCGGATCCGGTCCCGGTCGCGGTCCCTGCCGCGGCTCCTGGTGCCGCCGCCTGCCAGCCGGATCCGGTCCCGGTCCCTGCCGCGGCTCCTCGGGCTCGGGCAGTCCGAGCGCCGCTGCGCTCGTGGGAGGGGCAGCCCCGGGCGGCTCCTTCCTGCCGGGGCTGCCGCGGGAGCTGGGCGTCAGCCCGGTCCCACGGAGCCGGCTGAGGTCACCGGGGCGGCGGGGCTGGCAGGCGGCCCGAGCCCAGCCTAGGGCAGGGCGCTGGCGGCGGCGGGCGGGCCGGTGTCCCGGTGCCGCCATCCCGTCCGAGCACGGGCACGGGGCACCTGGCGGGGCGGGAGCCGCGCTCAGCAGCTGGCATGTCCCTAGCTGGCAGCCGGTGAGGGCCAGCCAGCCCGGGTGGAGCGATGTCGGAGGCTGTGGACCTGTCCTTCCTGTCGGACGTGGAGAGAGAGCTGATCCTGCAGGTCCTGCAGCGCGACGAGGAGCTCCGCAAGGCAGAGGAGAGGCGGATCAGGTGCGAGCGCGGCTGGAGCCGGGCAGGAGCTGCTTCCCCGCCTTGCTCTGGGAGCGGGTGGGTGACGGGTGTCGCCGGGGTCCCGGCGCGGCTCTGACACTCCTGGTGTCGGGTGTGAGCAGGCGCCTGAAGAATGAGCTGCTGGAGATCCGGCGCAAGGGAGCCAAGCGGGGCAGCCAGCGCTACAGCGAGCGGACCTGCGCCCGCTGCCAGCAGAGCCTGGGCCGCGTCAGCCCCAAGGCCAACACCTGCCGGGGCTGCAACCACTTGGTGTGTCGGGACTGCCGCTCCTGCAGCCCCAGCGGCTCCTGGCGCTGCAAAGTCTGCACCAAGGAGGCGTGAGTAGCCAGGGCGAGTGGCGGGCGCATTCTGTACATCCCTCCTGTCCTCTTCCTCCTCTCAGTTGCCTCAGCTTGATGCCCCATAGCCAGCCTTTCCTAGCCTGGCTGGTGCTCCCCAGTGCAGGGCAGCTTGCTCTGCTGTCACTCCTGGAGAGGGTTCCCATGTTTAGGTGATGGAGAAATGGGTCATACCCCACTCTTGTGTCTCCTTCGTGCCCTGCTCCTTCACCCCCTGAACTGTCTGCAGCATCCCCCATGCCCCTTGCACAGCCTTTCAAGCATCCCAGGTTTCCTCCCTTTTGGCCTCCCCTGTCCTATAAAACTTGGCTTGCTCCCGTGTTTGCTGAGGATGCGGCTGAGCCTGTCAGCTGCCTGGTGAATGATCCCTGCCTGGTCACCTGCTGATTTTGCCCACTATGCCTGTGTTCTTGGGCTGTGGCAGCACTGAGGGTGGGTTGGGGCACAGCAGACAGCCCCCACTACCCCTGACTGCCCCCCTGACCACCCCTGCCCTTGCAGTGAGCTGAAGAAGACCACAGGTGACTGGTTCTATGACCAGAGGGTGAACCGCTTCGCCAACCACCTGGGCAGCGACATGGTGCGGCTGTCCCTGCGGCACAGGCCCACAGGTGGGGTGCCCAGCAAAGCCTTCTGCCACAGCCCAGCCACCTGGGATGCTCCAGCTTTTCCCAGTGCACCTCTGTGCAGCCTGGAGCTGGATGGGAGCAGCTCTGCTCCAGGCAATGAGCTTGGAGCAGTGTTCCTCCTGATGCCTCTCTGCTTCCAGCCAGCAAAAGAGAGACTGTGGGACAAACCCTCCTGCAGAAAGCCCAGCTCAGCGAGCCTAAGAGCTCCTCTGCAGTCCGGCAGCCAAGCCCCCCTGCACCCCGGGAGGAGTCCAGGTAGGAATCCCTGCTGTCCCTTGTGCTCCAGGCAGCAGCTCTCATCTGCTGCAGGGTTGAGAGGAATCTGCTGCCCCACGTGGATCATCGGTGGCACAGGAGCTCTCTCAGACCGACCTCCTCGCCAAACAGGACATACCTGTGGTTTTGCTTGTCTGCAGTTTGTTTCCAGATGCCTCAGACCCTCGGGATGGCAAAAGCGACACAGAATCCATGGAAAACATGAGCCTGGACAGCTACAGACCTAGTCCTGCTGATGTGGAGGGCAGGTGAGAGGATCCTGGGGTGGGTTGTCCTTGACAAGACTGGCTGGCAGAGGATGGGACCTTCATCTGAAGTGTGTTTTTCTCAGTCTGGTGAGGGGAAGCTGGCTCCTCGGGCTGGGCTGAAGCCTGTCCCTGGGCAGGAAGGTCCTGTGCTGCCAGGCTGCTGCGGGCAGCTCGAGTGGCGCTTCCTGGCCAGCACTTGCTCTGCCAGCTGTGCTTGTGGCCTGGGACAGACCTTTCTGTGTCTGCCACAGGAGGAACTCCCTGGAGAGAGCCATCCCTGGAAAACAGGTTGTTGGGCCAGCAGGACCTGCTTCCTGCAGCCTGACCCTCCCTCTCCGCTCCAAGAGCGCGCTCTCTGACGGACGGGTGCGTGACGCTGCTCCGCAGGCTCAGCCCTGTCCTGGGGCGTGGGGCTGGGCACCCCACGGGCTCCTAGCCCTGCCCTGCTCTGAAGGGACTCTTCCCGCCCAGGATGCCACCGTGGGGACCCGCAGCAGCACCTTGGTGGACGAGCATGAAATGATATTCAAGAAGAACCCCCGGCGGGTGGTGAGGCCTGCGGGTGAGAGATGAGCGGGTGCTGACTCGGCCGGGGTGGGCAGCTCCTCCTGCCTGGGCTGGGAAGGGCTTTCAGTGCAGCTGGGAGAGGCTGGGGCAGCCCCTCGAGTGAGGGAGCAGCAGGGCTCTGCTAGTCCTGCTCTGTGCTGCTGTTCACCCCCTCTCGTGCAGACTACACCAAGTCCGTGATCGACCTGCGCCCCGAGGACCTTGTGGGGGAAGGTGGCTCTCTGGGGGACAGGAGCAAGTCAGTCCCTGGCCTCAACATGGAGCTGGTGAGACCCTGCGTGCCACGGAGATGGCTGCCAGCTGGAGGAGCCGGGTGTCTGGCTGGCTGTGCCCAACCATCCCCACACCGGTGCCTTGTCTCTGTCCTTGCAGGAGGAGGAGGAGGAGGACATCGATAACCTGGTGGAGATCCACCGGCAGCGGGTGGCCCGGGGCAGCATGCGCAGCGGCACCTCCTCGGTGAGCCCCGTGGTGAGCCCTGCCCTGCCCTGCCCTGCTCAGGGAGGAGTGATGGACAGGCAGTGCTGAAGGCTTGGGTGGGAGCGAGGCAGGGCAGGCAGCTCCTGGAGGGAAGGGGTAAGGGCCTGGTGTGTGGGGGCTTCTTCCCCTAGAAGGGAGTCAAAATCAGAGGCTCAGCTCTCTTCCAGGCAGCTGTGTGTGTGTGGGAGGCGCTTGTGGCCATCCCCAGCCACGGGGAGCTGAGGGGGGCTGTGCAGGAGAGGCACAGGGAGTAACCTTGCTGAGGATGAGGAGGGGATCCTGTGCCAGCTCAGCCCTGCCTTGTCCTGCAGAGCACACTGGGGAGCATGGTCAGCATTTACAGCGAGGCCGGCGACTTCGGCAGCGTGGCTGTCACCGGGGGCATCTCCTTCTCCCTGAGCTACGAGCAGAAGACACAGACCCTGTTCATTCACGTGAAGGAGTGTCGCCAGCTGGCCTTTGGGGACGAGGGCAGGAGGCGCTCCAACCCGTGAGAGCAGGGGGGCGATGGCTGCTGCCACCGCCGGTGGTGCCCAGCGGGGTTGTGGGTCCCACCAGAGATGGGAGCTGTAAGTGGGAGGGTCCTGGTGAGGCAGAAGGTCTGGGCTTGCGCTGGGGAGCTCGGAGCATTAATTGTGGGGGGCCTTGTTGAAGTGCTGCCTGTTGTCCCTTCAGGTACGTGAAGACTTACCTCCTGCCCGACAAATCCCGGCCAGGGAAGCGCAAGACGACCATCAAACGCAACACCATCAATCCCCTGTACAACGAGCTGCTGAAGGTGCGTGGGGCTGGGCTGGGCTGGGCTGGGCTGCAGGCACTCAGGGGGTGCTGCTGGAACAGGCAAGGGGAGGGGTGAGCTCCTAACCCTGCAGCGGGGTCTCTGCAGAGGAGCTGTGTCCAGAGACTGCGCCCTGAAAGCTGCAAAATCCCAACTGTGCCCTGCCTGTGCTGCCAGGCCCAGTGCCACGGCCGGGGGGAGGCACAGCTGCAGCTGTGACTGTGTCACAGGACAGTCCCTGGTTCCTGTGGCATTCCCCAGAGCAGAGGCATCCTGCTTCCCCTGGATATTTCCTTCCAAGGGGGAGGCTTCCTGGCCCCTGGAGGAACGCTACAGTGGCAGGAGGGAGGGCAGCAGCCACAGGGGCAGAGATAAGAGTTCTGGGCCCCAGGGCAGAGCACCTTGGCACTGCCCTTCACCGTCCCTGCTGGCTGACTCTGTCCCTGAGTCTGGCAGCACACCTCTGAAGCCAGGCACTCTTGCACAGGAGGAAGTGAGAGCTGTGGTTTGGTTTTTGGGCTAACACAGACAGCTTTGCTGAGGTCTTGTGCTCTGACCACCTGAGGCTCGGTGGTCTGGCAGAGCTCTGCTGGTGGTGGGATGGCCAGATGCCATGAGTCCTGGCTCCAAGGGCCACCTGCTGGGAGAGCACAGGCTCCTGCACCCTGGGACTCGGAGGTTTCAGCAGGCATGGAAGGAAAGAGGAACAGGCTCCTGTGCACGTCCACTGCTGCTCAGACCTGTCTCCTGTCGTGCTCGTGGGCTGCAGCTGATGGAGTTTGCCAGGCCTGCCCCTGTGCCGTGCTCCTGCTCACAGGGGTTTTCTCTCTCCCCAGTATGAGATTAGCAAGTCCCTGCTGCTGGCCAGGACGCTGCAGTTCTCGGTGTGGCACCACGATCGCTTCGGCCGCAACACGTTCCTGGGGGAGGCAGAGATCCCCCTGGGCGCCTGGAACTTCGAGAGCCACCTGGAGGAGTTCCTGCCCCTGCATGGCAAGGTGTGCCCTGCTGCCCACAGCCTCCCTTGCCTGGTCCTGCTGCCCCTCGGTGGGCAGAGGGCTGTGGAGACCTCGGCTGAGCATTGCCAAAAGGCTTGTGCCAAATCAAATATTTGGAGGTATGAAAAACCCCAATGCAGACAGCAGGGCTGTTGTAGTGAAAAAAGGGCAAACCTTCTGCCTTGAGCCTAGCTTCCCTCCTCCTTGTCAGGTGATTGGGCCACAGTAAGATCCCAGAGGAGCTGGGCTGCACTGAGCATGCTGGGGAGAGTTTTCAGGCACGTGTGCCAGCTCAGCCACATCTGGGAGAAGCCAAGTGCTTTGTCCCAGCCTGGGGAGGTGCTGCACACCAGGCTGTCACTGTGTGTGCCATGGCTCCTCTGCAGTGGTTGGTAATTCTCACCTCTTGGCAGATTGGGGCAGATGCTGCTGCTCTCCACCAGTACAAGGGGGAGCTGGTTGTCTCCATGAAGTACATCCCATCTGCCAAGCATCCTGGGGCTGGGAATGGCAGGAAAGGTGAGCGCTGAAGCTCTGGGATCAGTGTGTAGCCCTGCAGGGCCTGCTCCTGGCCATGCAGGCTGGCTCTGGGTGGGGTTTTTGGGTGGTATCTCTGCAGCTTTCTCCTCTGCAATGCCTGCAAAGCTGCTCTGGGTCGGGGCAGAGCTGGCTGTCCTCAGGCTGCCCAAACCATCTCAGTACTTCCCTAGGGCTGGACCGTTGCTGCATGAAGCAATTTTGTCTGTCTTTGCCCTCAGCAGGCAGTGCCAATACAGGAGAAGGCAAGAGGAGATGCCAGTCCAGGCTCTGCACCTGCCTCTGGGATGAAGGCTGCTCAGCAGGAACTTTCCAAAAGTTTGCAGTGGTAGAAATTAAATTGGATTAATTCCTACTGTGTTGGGTTTTCCCTAGGCAAAACAGGGGAAGGGGGTGAGCTCCAGGTCTGGATCAAAGAAGCCAAGAACCTCACAGCAGCCAAGTCTGGAGGGACCTCAGACAGCTTTGTCAAGGGGTGAGTGAGGGTCCTGGGTCCCTGGCTGTATTCCCAAAGCTGCTGGGGCACCTGGAGGAGGCCCCTTGTAGGGTGTCATGTCCTTCTTCCTGAGCTATGCCAGGAAAGGCAGGAAGGGGGGCTCCAGGCCAGTCCTGGGGTGCTGGGGGGGATCCAGGCCAGTCCTGGGGTGCTGGGGGGCTCCAGGCAGGGTGCTGGGGGGCTTCAAGCCAGGTCCTGGGGTGCTGAGGTGCCCCAGCCCCCCGAGCAGGAGGCAGCTGCCCGTGTGCTGCTAAGACAGGGGCTGCTTCCCCCAGCTACCTCCTGCCACACAAAAACAAAGCCTCCAAGAGGAAGACGCCTGTGGTGAAGAAGACCCTGAACCCTCACTACAACCACACCTTCGTGTACAACGGGGTCAAGGCCGAGGAGCTGCAGCACATCTGCCTGGAGCTGACGGTCTGGGACCGGGAGCCGCTGTCCAGCAACGACTTCCTGGGGGGGGTCCGGCTGGGGGTGGGCACTGGTGAGACCTGCAGCCCCTCACACCCGGGCAGCAGCAGCAGCCTGGCCGGGGCTGCGTGCCGCGGGCACCAGGCTGCTCCAGCAGTCACTTCTGCCATCCTTTCCCCAGGCATGAGCAACGGGCAGGCCGTGGACTGGATGGACTCCACGGGCGAGGAGCTGAACCTGTGGCAGAAGATGTGCCAGTACCCGGGCTCCTGGGCAGAGGGGACGCTCCAGCTGCGCTCCACCATGGCCAAGCTGGGGCCGTAGGCTGTGGCACCGGGGCTGGCACCGCTGTGGGAGCCACGCTCGCTGCACAGCCTGACAGGGCAGCCAAACGTGTGTTGGGTTTTATTTTTCTTACACTTTAATAAACATGACCGTCTCTAAACAGGCTTGGGCAGAAATTCTTCTTGGTCTAGCTTTGTTTAAAGGGTTTTCCTCTTGTCATAAGCCTTGTACCAGACTTCAGGCTGAACTGCAGTCCTCGTGGACCCTCCTTTCTTCTCCCCCGGGCAAAATGCTTTTAAATGTCATTGTGTTTTTATTTCTTCCCATTCTTTTTTCTACCACCCTGTTCCAGAGTCTGCTCTGTCCTTGTCCTCTCCACCCTGTTCCCCATACTCAGCCCAGCCCCAGCTGCAGCACTGGGTGGATGGAACTGTGTGGGCTCAGCCTGGGGCATTGGGGTTTGTGGTCTCCAGGAAACATTTGTTTCCCAGGCCTCTCAGTGACACATGTGCCAGCGCTGACTTTTTATACAAACCTATTTATTTCAACTTGAAGTTCTACTGCCAAAGCAGTTCCCAGAAAGGGCTCCCCGTGGGTGGTGGGAGCGGGAGTGAGTGGCAGGGGAGATGCAAGCCCTTTAGGCTGGACTGCACGCTGCCTGGCTGCTGTGGGCTCTGCTGAGCGTGGGGCCATTTGCTTTTCATCAGGGCTTTCAGAGTGGGAGGCATCGGGTCCGGGTTGTGCCCAGGGTGAGCCGTGGGGAGGCTGAAGCTGCTGTGCTAGAGGCTGTCACACTGCTGGCCAGCCTGCCCTGCCTGCCCTGCCTCTCTCCCCGGCTCCCCCCTGCCCTGGGTTTGAGCAGGGGCACTCCAGTGTCTCCCACCAGGGTCCTGGCTGGGCTGAGCCATGCCCCAGCTGGAAACAGCTCCTGGCTCTGGGCAGAGGGACACTGCTGGCACACAGTCCCTGCACACCTCTGTGTGCCAGAGCAGCCAGGGAGGGGCTCCCCTTCCCCGGAGCTCCCTGGCACCCTGCTCCTCCTCTGCAGTGGGCGACTAGAAAAGCAGGAAGGGAGGTGTCCATCCCCGGAGGGCAGGGCGGGGGTCACTCGCAGGGGTCCCCGCTCTGTGCCCGCCGCGCCGCCTCCCGCTCGCTCAGCAGGTAGGTGTCGATGAAGACGAAGAGCTCGTCGGGGCTGACCGGGGCGATGTAGCGCTCGCGGTCCGTGCCCGCCTTGTCCAGCAGCACCGCGTTGAAGTGCGAGCGGGTGAGGTGCAGGAAGCGCCTGCAGGTGCAAGGGGGTCGCTGCTCAGGGCTCGCACCCAGGGCTGAGCCTGCCCGCCTCTTGCAACCAGGCTCAGGTCCTCCTGGAGTGGGGGCTCCCACCTCTTCCTCGGGGCTGTGAGCTCTGGGAAGCTCTGGTGACGCTGCATTCAGACTTGAGGGGTTCCCCCCACTGCAGGACCCCCTCGGGGGCAGCAGAAAGGGGCTGCTCACAAACCCAGCTGCAACCTCACGTTTTGCCATTGCTAGAGGCATTCCCGTTCCCTGTCCCCTTGAACAGCCCCCCGGCTCTGCAGGACAGCCCCGCCTGCCCTACCTGAGCTCCTCGATGATGCCGAGGGACAGCCGGTGCTCCCGGATGCGCCCCACCTCGTGGGGGGGCTGCCCCAGCAGCTCCACGGTGGTGACGTGCCGCAGGTCCAGCCCGCAGGCAGCTTGCTGTGGAGGAGGGGGCGGTGAGGGGTCTGGCTGTGCAGCTGGGGAGGGGGGCGGCACGGAGCTCTGCTCACCTGCAGCATGGAGATCTGCATCTTGTAGTAGCGGTTGGAGGGGTCGGGGGCCGAGATGACCAAGAGGCGGCGTTTCTCGTGGAACTGGTCCAGCAGGCTGGCGGCCGAGCTCACGTCCGTGTTGATCTGCATGGCTGGGGCACGACACAAGCGCGTGGGGAGGTGCCATCGTGCCCCCCGCCACCCCTCTGACCCATCGGGCAGCATCCCCCAAGGCTCTGGGCATCGCCACGGGCAAGCCCTGCCCTGCCGCCCCGCTTACGTGCACAAAGGGGCTGGGAGCCCGTCCACTGCTGGCTGGACTGGCAGACCCGCAGGGAGGTGCCCTGGCGCTCGTAGCCCCCGTCGCACAGGTACTCGCAGGTGGCTCCGTAGTTGTTGCCGTCGGAGGTGCAGGAGATGTAGCCGTTCTGCGGAGGCTTCAGGACAGGGCAGCGCCGCACTGCAGAGGGGAAGCCGTGTGAGGGCAGGGCTGGTGGTGCCCGGCAGCGGCTGTGCCGGCTGCAGCGGGGGCAGCAGCCAGCGGCCCGCGCTCACCGTGGACGCGGATGCTGAACTTGCAGCTGGCGCGGTTGTAAGCCTGGTCGTGGGCGGTGTAGCGGATCACATGCTCTCCCTCGGGGAATTCGGAGCCGGGCTCCGGGCCCCGCAGCATCACCCTGAGCCAATAGACGGGTTTCTCCGTCAGCACCCCGGGCAGAGGCACCCATCCGGCCTCAGCGCCCGCAGCGCCTCTGCCCTCACCTCTTGATGACACCGTCGGCAGAGTCCCTGACGCGGGGAGGGTCCCAGTAGACAGTGGCAGTCAGCTTGCCTGGCTCTGCTATGCGCTCCCGGGAGTCCGGACAGCGGATCTTGGGAGGCTCCAGATCTGCCCAGAGGGAGGAGAGGGATTCATAGATCTTGGGGGTGCCTTGGCTGAGCTACGAGAGCGGTGCTGAACCACCCCAGGCACCTCGGAGCTACCAGGGCCTGCTGCAAAGCCAGCGCTGAGTGCCCCAGTGCCGGGCTGGTGGCTGTGTTCAGGGCTGGTGGCACTGCGGGGAGCAGCAGGGACCGGGGTCCCGAGGGAGGGAGGCGCAGGAAATGTCCGGCTTGGCTGCGGGGTGACACCTGCAGACACCCCAGCACGGGTGACGATCCCCTGCGTGCCCCAGCAGCGCGGGGTGAGAATTTACCTACACAGAGCGGCTCGCTCCCGCTCCAGTGCCCATCCTCCATGCAGACGCGGCTCCGGTCGCCCTCCAGCTGGTAGCCGGGCAGGCAGGTGTAGTCACAGCGGGAATCCATCTGCACGCCCGCCGAGCACACGTAGGAGCCCCGCAGCACCGCCGGCAGCACGTGGCACCGGATTTCTGCGATGGAGAGAGCGAAGAGGGGAGGGCAGCGGCTGCGGGCCGTGCGGGTGGGCACAGCAGCCAGGACTGGGGTGCTGGCCGGGCGGGGGCCGGGGACACTCACGTCGGCAGTACGCCATCCCCGACCAGTGGCGGCTGGGCAGGCACTGGACGGCGCTGGGACCCACCAGGCGGTAGCCGCGGGCGCAGCTCAGCTCGCAGCGTGTCCCCAGGCTGCTGCGGTAGGAGCTGCCCCGGGGAGAGTAGCAAGTGGCCTCTCCGCGGTGGATGTTGAGCGTGGCGCACCACTGGGGCACTGCGGGAGAGCGGGGAGGTGACGGAGGAATCTGCCGCGCCTCGGTGTCCCCACGAGGACACAAAGGATGGGTTGGGTGCTGTTACCTCGGCGGTAGTCCAGGGCAGGCTCAGGGGGCGGCTCTTCTGCGTACACCTCGTTGGTGTGACTCTCCAGGTAGTAGCCGGACCCTGGGAGGAGGGAAGAGACGAGCAGGCTGCAGGGCAGCTCATGGCTGCAAAACGTCCCGCAGCTGCCAATGAGCAATCCCAGCCCGGGCAGCTCCCGTCCTTGGGGCTGCTGTCAAGGGTTAAACTGGGTAGACAGCGAGCCCAGCCCCCGGGGGCATGGAGGGCGCTGGCACCAGCGCAGACTAAACAGCGGCAGCGGCAGCCGTGGTTGTGGCAGGAAACGGGCGCTGGCGCGGAGGGGGCTGGCATCGACCCCCAGTTTCGTGCTGCTTCCACCCGCTCCCATGGCACCGCCACTGCCACGGGGCATCCCCAGGGAAGGAAGAAAGCTGTCCTTGCCTGCCCTTTCCTGCCCGTCCCCTCACCAAGGCAGGGATGGCGAGCACGCTGCCCGGCAGGGGGTTGCTCAGCCCCGTGCCCGTGCTCCAGGGAAGGATGGAGCTGCCGGAGGGGCTCGGCCGGAGGTGCTGGCCCCTCGCCACCCGTGCTGGGCCCCGCGGATAGGGTGAGGACACCGTGCCTTCACGGGCGAGTCCTCGCCGGTGGGGAGGGGGCCGTGCAGGGGGAGAGGCTGCCGTCCTTCCCCGCGGCCCCTCGGCGCCTCGGCCGGCCGCGGCATTCCCCAGCTCTGAGCTCACGTTTCCGCCGCGTTTCCGCTGGCCCCCGCCGGCGCTGCCCCCTCCTCGCCGGCCCACCGCTCTCCCCGGGGCACAGCGGGGATGCTCGGCCCGGGGCACCGGGAAAGGCGGCAGCACCGGCGCAGCCAGCGTCCCCTTGCCCCGGTTTGGGGAAGGGGATATCCGGCGCGGCCAAGCCGAGCAGAAGCCCCGCCGTCACGGGGAGGAAACTCCATTACGAATCTTTCCAAAATGAACTTTCCTATGGAGCGGCTCGCCACCGCTCCCCACAAGCCCGCCCGCTTCCACAGCGCGTTTATCCAGCTGCCCCTTCACGCTGCCACGGATCCCGGGGGGCGGAGGAGCAGGGACGGCACCTGGGGGCGGCCGTGACCTGGCGAACGAAGCTTTTCCTGGGGGGCTGCCAAGACTCCCGCCGGGGCCCTGGGGACAGAGCGCAGTGTCCCCGCAGGCAGATGTGCCATTTAATGGTGATGTTTCCTTCCACTGCCAGCGCCGCCTCTTCCTTCTCACCTGGGGCCAGCTCAGCCCCGCTGCACTGCGCAGGAGAATCCCCAGGTGTGCTGGCAGCACGGCCAGGGGACGGCATGGGAGCAGGGAAGGGGGAAACCACCCCAAACAAGGCCCTGGTGGCCCAGCCAAGGGCGGTCGGCACTGTGGGCTCCGTCCAGCGAACATCTGCGGCCGATGGCCCCGCGGGAGCAGGGAGCCAGCGGGAAGCGGCGCTCTCGCAGGCGGGGGTGTGAGGAGGACAGGCCGGTTTCCTGCTCCTCCCTGGACGCCTGCCAGCATCCCCTCGGTTCCTCCGTGTACCCACGGCTCACTCCCCAGGCACCCCATTCCTCAGGCACTGATGCTCTCCCCGCATCGCTGCTCCCTCCATCCCTGCCCACCCCGAGCCCTCAGCAGC